AGGGACTTAAGTGCAATTTTTGAAGTTGAAATGTGAAAACAAAATGTAGCCGATATCGAGAACTAACTCCTGTCCGAAAATCGTCTCAATCGGATAAATGGTGAATTAGTTATGAATTTTTTAAGTTTCAGCTCAGACAAACTTATTTTGGGCTCCAGTGTCGACTCTGACACGTTCTTCAATAAAAAATTGGTATTGATCGGAGCATAATCCGGTCTCGACTTTTGAAGCAAAGTTGTAGATCTATGAGTCAGTGACCTTGTGTAAAAATATGAGCTCAATCCGATAAAAATTGACCGAGTTATGAATTTTCGAAGTTTCGGCCCAGATGAAATAATATTCAGCATTCAGGATTTTCAGCGTGTCACGCACTCTGAGCAAAAAACGAAGGCCTTTTGAATACTGTTTGAACTCAATACCTTCTGTGAAAATGTAGCCAACTCAATTTGTGAAATTTTGACGCCGGAACCAGCTCGATACGATGAAAATCGACCAAGTTATGATTTTCTGAACATGACGCAAATAAACTTCTGTCACAAATTTTCTGTATGAAAATACTTGATAAATCCATATTTTTGAAGACCTTCTGATCGAAATTGGCTTCTAGCCGTGAGAGATGAAAACGAGATAATGTCAAGACGGGATTTTGGCCATCGGAACAGGTTCAAAACGAGTCACGATCTTCAAGTTATGAATTTTTTAGCGCGTAAAAACTGCACTTTCAGCACATTTTTTCACCATATTTCTTCGAGAAAACTCACACATTCGGATACCTTCTTTAAAGAATTGACTCTTGAGCCGAACCTAAATTTGAGAATACGTTATCAGAGATATCTTGGCGAAAGAACACTTAAATATGACGCGCCGGGTTGGACTTGTGAATTTTTCTTGAAATGTTTTGAGAAATATGGGAGGGCAAATTTTGGGGTACAACATAAGGTATCTCAAAGGAACTCTCGACTATGGAATTTTGTTTCCTGCAGCTGATAAAGGAAAAGAATGCAAGTTAGTGGAATGCACTAATTCAAGTTGTTGTAGTGATACTGAAGATCGAAAATCAACAACAGGATATGTGTTTATGTTAGATGATGCACCAGTTGCTTGGAGTTCAAGAAAGGAACCAGTAGTGGCATTATCATCATGCGAAGCAGAATACATAACTGCTTCTCTTTGTGCATGTCAAGCAACTTGGATGGTGAACTTGGTCGAAGAGATAACAGGGAAAGATTATGGAGAAATTACCATGAAGATCGATAATATGTCAGCTATCAATCTGGAGAAGAACCCGATAGCACATGGTCGAAGCAAGCACATCGGAATGAGGTTCCACTATCTTCGGGAGTGGGTAACAGATGTGAATATGAATTTGGAACACTGTCGAAGTATTCAGAAGACTAAGAACCGTGATGAATATAGATAGTTTAGACACAATGAATTAAGTGGTGTGTTAAATTCTAATTCGATGGTGTCGAAATAGTGTATGTGTCGAAGGGGGTTGCCCAGTCAAAGAGCTTGTGGATCGAAGCAAGCTACACACAGATTTGATTGATTTTAGATTTTAGATAAATTTGATTTAGATCTAAAATAGATAGATTTGATTTAGTACCAAAATAGGTATTTTGGACTTTTATAGTTTTGGACTTTGACTTAGGGAGCAAGCTAACCTAAATCTATACATAGAGGGAGTAACCCCTAATTTTGTAATTAAGTCAATTCATTGTAATCACATAATTTGCAGTTGAAAGTAATTAATAAAGTTTTCCACAGTTTGTGAGCAAAGAGAAACTATGCGGAAAATAATTGTCTTCTTTCTTTTCTTTTCTTTTCTCATAATTCATTGTCATTGTATGGTGATATCAATCTTGTTCATCAAGATTTGATAGAAATTCATCATATATATTTAGTGAATTTCCAATATTTTCATCTCATCTCGGCGGACATTCCTTTGTGACCAGTTATGTGAGCTAGTTGTCTCATACTATTGTTACATGACATTCTACCACCATTGTTTGTATCATTGCTAAGGTCTTCCATGTTTCCTAATTTTGAAACATGAGACTCTTATATATCTTTTCTTATATAAAGTAGTTTATTTTTCTTTGTGTTACTATTGTTTTGCATGCAGTTCATTCTATTTCAAGATCAAACAAAATTTGTTCTTCAGGAACCTTTCCTCACATAAATAAACATTAACAGACTAGCCAACATTGTTAGAAGATTGGTGTATATAAACAAAAATGCACATACATAAACAAAATACTTAAAATAATAAAAAAAATATTGAAATGTCTTTAAACATTAACGCTAGTCCACGATAACAACTCCATTTTGTTGCGAATACAGAAGCAAGTACACTTTATTTATCGTCTAAACATAAATTGGTTGTGTTTCAAAGACCCTTATGATTTTAAGGATGGCTTATCACATGTTGTTTGTTTGTACATTTTGAAATAACATAAATTTAATTGAACTTTGGTGTTAATAGTTGAGAAAATTTGTTGAGGTTAAATTTCATCGACGTGTCCTCATATATTATCGTAATCAATAATATGAAATTCTAACTAATTATTAATGTTACCGTCCATCACTCCGCTCCCCGATTCATGTTGAAGTCAACAACATAAGGTAAACCGTAATACATAATAGACAATCTCTAGCCTATCAACTAATATGATAATATTAAAGTTTGATAGTTCATATTGATATTTCACCTAAATCTATATCTAGAGTTTAATATATAATTTTGTATTCTTATTTACTTTTATAACCACTCTTAATTCTAACTATTTTTTCTATCCATTTCATCTATTCATTATTTTCTAGGATTTTTTATAATATTTCTTATTGATTACCACTCAAAACAATAAGAGGTTTTTCTTCTAATAATTATTTACATATTTGTTTATCTTATTAAATTTCATACTCAATTATTCTATTTTCATGTAAAATACATAATATATTTTTGTATGCTATGTAAACATAAGATATTGCGAGCATAAATAATAACAATTATATTTATCTGCTCGAAGACACTATCAAATTTTATTATGAAGAATTTCTTAATAACCATTTTGACCTCTCAAATTTAGATTTTCCTATTTTCAATTTTTTTTTCTTTTGTTTTTATCATTTACTTAATTTATTCTTTCATTTGTTAATTTAGTAGATTTGGTCTTGTCCTTCGATTATTATAATTTTCTTTTTTTTTTGTGTTAATTATATATTTTATAGATAAGATACGATTGAGTTTATTATAAATTTAAATTTAATTGAGGAAAAATAATGAGTCATTAAAATATTAATATAGTGTAAATCAATTTAATGAATAAAAAAAGGATTTGTATGTTTTGTATTCAATATTATGAATTAAATACATATTGTTGAAGATTTATATGTCTGTCCAGTGAAAAATAAGTGGTATAAAAAAATGATATTTTTTATAATGTCAGTTGTTATTATAATAAATTCATAATATTGAATATTTTTATATTATGTCATATTATAAATAAATATTTTTATTCACTTTTTAACTTAATTGTAATAAATATAATTATAATTATAAGTGGTAAATTATTTAATATTTTTCAATTATATATATAAAATAAAGTCTAAAAATATTAATAAAAATATCTTTTATATTAATTCAAAAAAATATTTATTGATAATAATTTATAAAATCGGTCGGCTCATCGCTTGAGTAGAGGTCTAATTATAAGTAGTGAAAGTGTTGCTTATAGGTGAACTTAGAGTACTTTATCATAATTTAAGAATGATGTAGAACCATAATTTCTTTCACTCTTGTTAAATTTATGTTTTCGCTTGGTCAAGACTGGTCGTTGGTACAAAACTAAATTAATACGATTAAATTTTTCCTAAAAAACATGAAATTTTAACCATTTTTAGTCTATCTTTCACATTTTTCCCTATCTCATTTCCCTTCATTATTTCTTATTATTTTGGCCAACCAAAATAGTTATATCTCAATACTTTCATTATTTTCCCTATCTCATCTACTGTTCTTTCCTTAAATACGACTTCAAATTCCATCTTGGTAAATGCAGTTTAAAATTTACGTGAAGATATTTTTTTTTGTTTGAAATAGATGAAAATTAGAAGTCAATTTTCAAATAAGGTGTTATTGTTCGGTTAGGAATTAAAAGTGAAGGATGGAGTGGTGGAGTAACATCTCTCTACAATGCAAAAATACTTCTGATATAATAGAGCGAGACGAACCTACAAGGTTAGTACCTTCAATCTCTAAGAGAGTAAGAAAATCAAAAGTAATATGAAAATGATAATGAATTTAAATATTTGAAATAACACAATTTTATCTTATATAACAAGAGCATTTGAAATCAGTTGTGTGCAATGCGGTGTGCTGTGCGGACAATCGTCTCATTGAATTATACAATAATTAATGTATTGGAGAGCATAATTGTCTACTTCTCATTAGAGTAAAGGGTTTATCTATTTTTTGCATCTTTTTATTTTAAATTTGTTCTTGAACCTTTAGTCATGGATCTTGCAAACGACTCAAATGGTTATTTGAAATTTATCATTCGTTATATTATTAAGAAGAGTTTGATATAACTATTATACCTACTAAATATTTTAAAGCTGAGGATATATTCAATACAAAAATAATTACTCTCCGAATTTTTTTAGTATAGACCATGCCTGCTATTGTTTTTTCTCTTAAAATGTTATACCAAATATAAATAAAAGAGCAGGTAAAGACATGGTCTACAATTATTTAAAAATGATGCCTCCAAATTTAATATGTTCTTCAAACTTCTCATTTTTCTAATATTTCAATTGTATAGGTTATACTTATTTTTTCTAATCCAGGTTAATTACCAGGTCAATCTTGATTCCAAGTCAATAAAATTTAACTAGCAACCAAAGCCGGCAAAGAAACCATAAAATAATTTTGTACAAATATCACATATAAATCAAACCCTCTCTCCTTTTGCTACAAAGCAATTCAAGAAACAAACACAATGAAACTAAACAAAAATGTCACACTACTATGCACAATTTTATCAGTAACAATATATGCATCTGAACAATCATTTTCTTCATCCTTACCCGGTTGTAAAAACACATGTGGAGACATAAATATTCCATATCCATTTGGTATATCAGAATCATCAACACCAAATCAAGGATCATGTTTTCTAGAGCCCAAATTCAATCTCACATGCGAAAATAACACGAAGTTAATATGGGGTGATGTTCATGTTTTAAACATAAGCATCCTCGAAGGTCAACTCGAACTCTTGTGTTTTGTCTCAAGTTATTGTGACAGAAAAAACAACAACCAACCAACTCTAGACACTGCCAGTTTCAGCATATCAAGAAAGGAAAACAAGTTTATAACTATTGGTTGTGACAATTACGGTTTTATCGACAGCAATTACGACGAAGAAACATATACAACAGGTTGTTTAACAAGATGTAACGGTAATCGAAGGCGAATTGAAAACGGAACGTGTTCGGGTATTGGTTGTTGTCAAGTTGATATTCCACCTATGATGAGGAACATAAGTGTTAATGTTTTTGAATATACTAATTCCAAGGAATCGTTTGGATGTGCACATTCGTTTGTTGTTAAGAATAGATATTATAATTTTTCTCTTTCTGATTTGGATCATTTTTCTCATGAGAAGCTTCCTTTGATTCTTGATTGGAGTGTCGGGAGTAAAAATTGTAAGGCTTCAAAGGGTGAAGATGGTTATGCTTGCAAGGAGAATACTGATTGTGATGATAAGGATATTGATTTTGGTTATCAATGTGAATGTAAGAAAGGTTATGAAGGAAACCCTTATCATCCAGATGGCTGCAAAGGTAATTTACTTCATCTTCTTCTCAATATTAATCTATTTACTTGTTTTTTTTAAAAGCCGATTTTATCAGGTTGGACGTTGTCATTAGGATTAGAACCACAGTACTCACAGTTTGTTGTGTGTATGATTTTTATATTATTATTACTATTTCGTTGAAAATTATTTGACATTACAATTATCTTTTACTATTTACACCAATAGACATTGACGAATGTAAGACATCGAACAACACGTGCCTAAGTGATGAACATTGTCGCAACAAAGATGGATTTTACGAATGTTTTTGTCCTCGTGGACAATCGGGAAATGGAACATTGGAAGGAGGGTGTAGTAGACGAGATGTAATTACAAAGGTTGCCATCGGTAAGCTTATAAACATATCCTAAATGTTTGTAGTTGTGAAAACTACCGCATCAGTAATATTATAGTTGCAATTACAGAAGTAGACAACAATTTAAAACCATAATTTTTAGATATTTATTTAACTTTAATAGAAGGTTTCACCAGTTTACCTATTGATATTAAATTATAGAGTAATTCATGAATTTTTGGACACATTTAAAATGCAGGAGCAAGTGGTGGACTAATTGTCTTATTTGTGGCGGTTTCTTCTCTATACTTGACGTGCCAAAAAAGGAAACTCATCAAACTAAAACAGAAATTCTTTCAACAAAATGGTGGTTTCATTTTGCAACAACAACTCTCGACAAGAGAAGATACATCTCAATCAGCTCAAATATTCACAGAACAAGAACTTAAAAAAGCCACCAACAATTACGACGAAAGCTTAATCATCGGTAGAGGAGGTTACGGTACAGTCTTCAAAGGAATTTTGTCGGACAATAAAGTCGTTGCTGTCAAAAAATCCAAAATAATAGACGAGAATCAAATCGAGCAATTCATTAACGAGGTAGTTGTCCTGTCTCAAATAAATCATAGGAATGTCGTCAAACTCTTAGGATGTTGTTTGGAAACAGAAGTTCCTTCATTAGTATATGAATTCGTTAGCAACGGTACACTTTTCGATTTCATGCATAGTACAAAAGATAAAGAAAACAATCCAACATGGAAAACACGGCTAAGAATCGCAGCAGAAACTGCCGGAGCTTTATCGTATCTACATTCATCTGCATCAATACCAATCATTCATAGAGATGTTAAGAGTACCAACATTCTCTTGGATGAAAATTACATTGCAAAAGTTTCGGATTTCGGAGCATCAAGATTGGTTCCACTTGATCAAACTGAGATAGCAACAATGGTGCAAGGAACACTTGGATACTTAGATCCAGAATATATGCAAACACATCAATTAACTGAGAAAAGTGATGTCTATAGCTTTGGAGTCGTTCTTGCGGAACTTCTAACCGGGGATAAACCGATTTCATTTAATAGGCCTGAAGAGAATATTAGTCTTGCTATGCATTTTTTGTCGTGTTTGAAACAAGATAGAATTTTTGAAGCTATTGAAGTTGGAGTTTTGAATGATGATAACAAGAAGGAGATTATGGAGGTTGCTATTCTTGCAGCAAGGTGTTTGAGACTTAGAGGAGATGAAAGACCTAGCATGAAAGAAGTGGCTATGGAGTTGGATGGAATAAGGTTAATGGAGAAGCATCCTTGGAATGACACAGACCAAAATTTTGAGGAGAGTCAAAGGTTACTTCATGAGGCATCTTGTAGCTTTTTTGATGAAAATGGTGATAGCTATAATCTTGGTTACACTGTTGGGTATGATAGCTTGAAAGATCAACCATCGATTGCATTGGATGATGGAAGATGATTGTGATGTTTCAAAATATGTATTTGCTTCATTGTTTATATTGATTTTGAAAGGATTTGTAAATTAGACCATGGCTAACTAGGATGTAGTAAATAAATAAAGCTTTGTTTACTTCATTAGATCACACAAGGCAATGTGATATATCCTAATAACTTCAGTTTGATAGATTTAAATGGACCTTGTTTGCAAGTATAAAAACAATAACTATATCAATTCTATTTCAAGACTTTCAATTTCTCCTTGTAGCATCTCCACTACTTTACTCATTGAGGGACGATTATTTGGATTAATTTGTATACAGCAAAGAGCAATTACTATCATCTCTTTTACTATTTTCATATCCTCATAAATCCAAGAAGGAAAATAAACCTGACTTGAATGCTCTGCATTAGTATTCAAGTTTTTTTCTCTTACTTGCCATCTCCATCAAAAGCATACTAAACTATAAACATCAGCCTTATATGACACTCCTCCAATATTTTTGTAAAACAATTTTGGAGCCATATATCCAATTGTGCCTTTAGTCGCAGTCATTGTGATGGTGTTATTTTGGACTGGGTATAGCTTTGCGAGTCCAAAGTCCGATATTTTTGGGATGAAGTTTTCATCAAGCAAGATATTGTGGGGCTTATCAAAATCAATATCTTGATTTCGCATCCATGGTAGAGATAAGCAATCCCACGTGCTACTCCAATTGAAATATCATGTATTTGGTTGTAGCTTAAATTTACACCCCTTTAGCATATGATGTCATCTTATACGATATATTTTCAAATCGACACATGGAACTCAATTAAGTCCGAAGCTTCTAGAAGGTTTAGGTCGACATATGCATTGCACAGGTCGACACAAGTCAACTTTGAACTAGTTAATAAAATAGTTGCAAAAGATTTAATAGTTGGTCTATCTAAAATGAAATTTTCAAAAAATCACATATGTGATGCATGTCAAAAGGGTAAGCAAACAAGAGTCTCTTTTAAATCTAAAAATATTGTATCAACATCGAGACCTCTTGAGCTCCTTCACATAGATTTAATTGGACCCTCACGGACCAAGAGCATATGTGGTAAATACTATGGATTTGTTGTTGTAGATGATTACTCAAGATTTTGTTGGACTATTTTCTTACGTAGCAAAGATGAAACATTCTCGACTTTCACATGTTTCACCAAGTTATCTCAAAATAAATTGAATTCTAAAATAGTTTCTATTCGAAGCGATCATGGAGGTGAATTTGAAAACCACCTCTTTGAAGAATATTGTGATAAATTTAGAATTGAGCATAACTCACTACGCCAAAAAGGGTTTTAGACAGCACACCTTAGACAGCGCTTTTTCCAAAAAGTGTTGCTATAAATCAAATAAAAATAAAACACGGAAAATATTAATGAAATTATGTAAAAGCGCTACTAAAAGGCCCACTTTAGACAGCGCTTCTCCAAAGAGCTGCTAAAAGGCCCACTTTAGACAACGCTTCTCCAAAACGCTGCTAATAGGCCACATTAGACAACGCTTCTTAGAAGCGCTGCTAAAGGCCCGCGTATGAAGCGCTGCTAAAAGGCCCACCTTAGACAGCACTTCTTAAAAGCGCTGCTAAAGGCCTACGTATAAAGCGCTGCTAAAGGCCCATATTAGAAAGCGCTGCTAAAGAAATAGAAAGCGCTGCTAAAGGGTTGATTTAGACAGCGCTTAAAAAAAGCGCTGGTAAAGGACCACATTAGCCAGCGCTTCTTCCAAGTGCTGTCTAAAGTCATATAAATTTTTTAAAAAATATCTGAAAAGCGCTGTTAAAGGCCCATATTAGCCAGTGCTTCTCAAAAGCGCTGTCTAAAGTCATATAATTAGAATTTTAAAAAAAAAAAGAATCCCTCTAGAACTCGTTTCTATTCATCACAGAAACGCTCTTCCACCGTTCCAGAAACCCATTTCTCTGCGTCCTTCCGTCGTTCCTCCAGATACCGCCCTCCTTCCACCATCCCTCTGACCGCCCTCCTTCTGCCGTACCTCCGTCGTTCCTCCGCCGTATCTCAAGGTATTCATTTCCTTCTACTTTTCTTACTTGTACGATTATGTCCCCTAGCATTTTCATTCCTTCCAGTACTTAGACACAACGTATCCCTAATGGTACTACTGCATCTTATACGTCATACCTCAACCCATCTTGAAAATATCAGACACATATACACTTTATACCTCAACCCATCTTGAAAATGTTAGACACATATAACCTTATTTTATAGCTGCTAGGTAGCATTGGTTTTCAACATATTTCATGTTATTATGCAGAAGTGATATTATTCAGTACTCTAGAAATCATTTGAGGATTGGTATCGTGATTTTATTCTCAACTCTATGCATTTTCAATGTTAGTGTGCTTACTAAAAAGTTGGTTAAGACTTTTTTGTATTGGTGTAGTTAGTCGAAGACCATCACCGATTCGAAGAACATCAAAGCAGCATCATCTGTCGTCGGCACCAATAACCCCTCTTCTTTCTTTGGTAAGTAAAGTTCAAATTCAACATTACCGACTCGTTTATTTATTTACTATTTGCTTCCTAAATTATAAAACATTCTATCTATATCAATTAAAAGCACAATTAATTTTATATAGAAATAATTAATTTTAGTCTATATCGATCTAGAACTAATCCGATTAAATCTTACGAAATATTTCTAAAAGTTTCTATTAATATTCTTTTTGTGTTCGCAAAAGTGTTTTTCTTTATGTTCTTTTGAAATAGTTGCGTGAATAATTATAGTTTTTTTGTTTACCTTAATTAGTAGTAATCCCATGGATAAAAAATGGATGATTGACGATCGATTATCAAAAGAGTACAAGAATGGATATTGGAATTCGTTAAGTTTGTTGTTGAACACGTCAAAGACTCCAGTCAAATAAAATGTCCTTTCTTGGGTTGTTGTTATGTGGGTCGGGTTGATGCAGATGAATTGAAATCTCATTTACTGACGCGTTGGATTGATCGAAGTTATAAGTGTTGGATATATCATAGTGAGAAAATTAACGAGAATGTTGAACCGGGGGAGAAAACTAATACGACGACCTATGCTCCAGATGACAATGACACGGATACATACGATTGTGATCAAGTCAAAGTGATTTCAGAAGCACTTGAAAAAGATCTTAAGGATTGTGCCAAAATGTTTGAGAGGTTGGTAAGCGATGCAGAGAAACTGTTGTATAAAGGTTGCACTAAATTCACAAGACTGTCTACGGTATTAAAGTTGTACAACTTAAAGGCGGGCAATGGATGGTCGGATAAAAGTTTCACAGAGTTGTTAGCCCTTATGAGAGATATGATTTGGAGGATAATGTTCTTCCTAATCGAACATATGAGGCCAAAAAAATGTTGTGCTCTATTGGCATAATCTATGATAAGATACATGCATGTCCAAACGATTGTGTTTTGTTTTGAAACAAATATGCATCGTTAAATGAGTTCCTTAAATGCGGGTTATCTCGATATAAGAAAAAATTGTCTCCAGCAAAAGTCTTATGGTATTTTCCTATAATTCCGAGATTTAGGCACATGTTTTGTAGTGAAGCCGATGCAAGACACTTGACTTGGCATGAAAATGAAAGAATTATTTATGGAAAGTATCGACATCCGGCAGATTCACCACAATGGTCGAAAATTGATGATGATTATCCTGATTTTGGAGAAGAAGCAAGAAACCTTTGTTTGGCATTATCTACTGATGGAATGAACCCACATGGTCTTCAAAGTATCTCACATACCACATGGCTTGTGAATCTTATGATTTATAACCTACCTCCATGGCTATGTATGAAGCGTAAGTACATGATGTTATCTATGTTAATTTCTGGGTCTAAAAAATCAGGGAATGACATAGATGTATACTTGACACCTTTGATCGAAGATTTAAAGATTTAGTGGGAGAACAGTGTGGAGGTTTATGATGAATATAGGAAAGAAAGTTTCAATTTGAGGGCGATATTGTTTTGCACAATTAATGATTTTCCAGCATATGAGAATTTATCTGGGTATAGCATTCAAGGTCAACGTGCATGTCCTGTTTGTGAATGTGATACGGTGGCAAAACCGACTGTTAATACTGGTTTTGTGTTTTGTGTTTGCAAATATCGCGGTAAGCAAGAGTCACCACCGACTTCTCTTTTATCCAAATTAAGGAAAGGGTGAAAAGAACATAAAAATACTTTTTCGAGATTTTCTGAGTATGGGGGGTAGATTATGGAAAGGGAAGGTGTTAGCACCCTTTCCATCCGTAGTTATCTACGGGCTCTTAGAGGTTTGCTCATTTTGAAATACTTTTGTGCTTTGTATGTTTGAAAATGTTTTAAGAATGCCTTAGTGCGGCGATTTTCTTTTCGTTTAACTCTTGTATCAGTCCTCAAGAATGTTAACCAAGCAAATGTTTTGAAAATTATTTTTGAAAAGTAGTATTTATGTAAGTGCAAAAAATTTTTTGAGCAAACTTCTAACAGCTATCTACTTTTATACTCGAAAATGGTTGTTCTTTTCCTCCTATCCTTTAGACAGTGCTATCCTACTATTACTGAGTAGGTAGCCCTATCGTTGGATGTTTGAGGGACAATCGAAGGGACGTTACGGTCACGAAGGAAAATTGGCAAGAAATTTTAGTAACTATCCAAAAGTTTTAAGATCACTTTTAACCGAGGCAATGTCGAGAGGGTCATCGAGGGACTTGTGATCTTTCAAACTAGAGGACAGCCACTAAAACTTTCACGTTTCGAGAATTGTGACCGTTTTCTGAAGGCAACCGAAGTAGGATACCCTATAGGTGCGCATGTGCAATTGTGTTTGGTTCATGGTATTTATCTTGCGCATTTAGGGTTTGCTAACGTTTTAATTTCAGTCTTGCCATACATGCCTAGTTACTAGCAGTTAATATGTACAGAAAAATAAAGTGCGGGAGGTATAAATCTAGACTATTACATGACTTTTGGGAGGGGGATTTAAACTATACAATGTTTTAGG